AGAATCATATTAGGAGACTGGAATAGCACTGTTGGAGATGAACCATATCAGAATATTGTTGGATCACATGGACTAGGAAGACGGAATCACAGAGGTCAAATGCTTATTGACTTTTGTGAGAGATATGGACTGATTGTTACCAACACTTGGTTCAAGAAGCCAAAGAGAAGACTTTACACATGGAAGGCACCTGGGGATTGGAGGAGGCATCAGCTGGACTACATCCTTGTCAAACATTGATTCAGAAACAGTGTGGAGGATATGAAGACGCTGCTTGGGGCAGATATTGACTCTGACCACAACTTACTGGTTGCCAAGTTTCAAACCAGGTTGAAGAAAATTATAAGATTCCAAAAGCGCAGACCTAGATGGGATTTGGAGAAGTTATATGCTCACAGACAAAGCGTTCAGGAGACCCTAGAAGAGAAACTCAGTGCAATTGAAAGTAAAAGTGGAAATGCTGAAGTTCAGTGGAACAATATAAAAGAATGCATGCAAGATACTATTAGCGAATTGGTTGGTAAAGTTGAGAAGACAGCAAGAAAACCATGGGTTACACGGGAGATGATGAGTAAAACGGAGTAGCGAATGAAATGGAAGAATGTAAGCAATGAAGAAGGCAGGAGGAAATACAGGAGACTGAGGAATGAATTGAAAAGAGCCACGGACAGGGCCAAAAAGGAATATCTTGAGAAGATATGTAATGAGATTATGGAATTTCAAAGAACAGGCCGTTATGATTTGATGTACATGAAGACAAAAGAACTAGGATGGAAAGAGAATCATGGGATTCAAAATGTTGGCATCGAAGACTCCCAGGGGAATAGAATAGTAGATCAGAGGCAAGTGCTGAAAATTTGGGAAAATTATATTTCAGAACTATATGATCGACCTAATCGGCCAGAAACCTTAGAAGTTGAACCGGAAGAAGAAGTAGATACAGACGAGAAAGGACCATATATTTTACAAAGTGAGGTGGAAAAAGCTATCAAGGAAATGAGGAAGGGAAAGGCTACAGGAGATGATGATGTACCTGGAGATGTGCTCAAGTTACTGGGAGAAGGTGGTTTGAAAACACTGACAAAACTAATGAACACCATATATGAAAGTGGAGAGTGGCCCAAGGACTTTACAGAAGTTACAATGATTGCCTTAAAGAAAAAGACAAAAGCTACAAAATGCAGCGACCATCGCACAATAAGTCTTATTGCACATACAGCAAAGATAATAGCAAAGATACTTAAAAGAAGAATTGAAAGGAAAATAGAGGATATACTTGGAGAAGATCAGTTTGGATTTAGAAGAGGAAAAGGAACCAGGGATGCAATTGGGATGATGAGAATTATAGCGGAACGAACTTTGGAGATAGATGAAGAACTGTGTGTTTGCTTCATAGACTGGCAGAAGGCATTTGACCGGGTAAACTGGACCAAATTAATGCAGATCCTGAAAGAAACAGGTATCGATTGGCATGAAAGAAGATTGATTAGCAAATTGTACATGGATCAGAAAGTTAGAGTACGACTGGACAGGGGGGAGACAGGAAGTGTGCAGATTGGAAGAGGAGTTCGACAAGGATGCTGTTTATCACCAATTCTGTTCAACTTGTACAGCGAATGCCTTACCAAGGAAGCTCTGGATGGGCTTGGAGACTTCAAATTAGGAGGGCAAATTATTCAAACTGTGAAATATGCAGATGACCTTGTGTTAATGGCTAAGGAAGAAACTGTGCTACAGGGTATGATTGATAGACTAATTGAAATTGGAAGGTGCTGTGGCATGGAAATGAATGTGGAAAAAACAAAAGTAATGAAAATTTCGAGACAACCAACCCCAGTCACAATAAAGATAAACCAAAAACAATTGGAGAATGTGAAATGTTTTAAATAATTGGGTAGCTTGTTAACAGAAGATGGAAGGTGTACGTGTGAAATTAAATCTAGGATTGTCATGGCAAAAGCTGCATTTAGCAAAAAGAAGAATCTTTTTACCAGAAATTAGACTTAAATTTGAGAAAGAAACTAGTGAAATGCTACATTTGGAGCATCGCTTTGTATGGGACTGAAACTTGGACACTTATGGCAGTAGATCAGAAACACCTGGAAAGCTTCGAAATGTGGTGTTGGAGAAGGATGGAGAAGATCAGTTAGACCGATTATGTGAGAAATGAAGAAGTGTTATTTAGAGTCAGTGAGCAGAGGAATATCCTACACGAAATAAGAAAACGGAAGGCTAATTGGATTGGTCGTATCTTATGCGGTAACTGCCTTCTAAAAGAAGTTATTGAAGGAAAGATAGAGGGGCGGATAGAAGTGACCAGAAGACGAGTAAGAAGACATAATAAGATGCTGGATGACCTTGGGGACAGAAGAGGATATTTTCATTTGAAGGAGAAAGCTCTAGTTCACATCAAGTGGAGGAACTGTTTGGAAGAGACTGTGGACCTGTCGTCTTGCCAGATTACAGATGAATGAATGAATGAATGAATGAATATCTGATGGGGGTCTGCGGTAGCATAGTGGTTAAGTTACTATGCTACAAGCCGGAAGGTCGCGGGTTGAAGTCCCAATGAGGTCATTGGATTTTTTTCAATTAACCTAATCCTTCCAGCCGCAATATGCCCTGGGCTTTACTCAGCCTCTAACAGAAATGAGTACCAAGAATTAATTAAATAATTTTCCTGGGGAGTGAAGCGCAGCCAGCGCATAAGGCTGACAACCTTACCGCCATCTTTGAGCCGACTGTCAAGGTAATGTGGGACCCTTAACGTCTTACAACCCTATGGGCCTTCACGGCCTGTTACTGGATAGCTTCACTTTTACTTTTTACTTTACTGCATCTAACTAAATGTATTGTGACATGTTGACCCCTACCTCCCCAGCCGCACGTAGCGGTAACGTAGCACTCGCGTAACAGGCGAGTCATCACCCTGCACTCTCCCCGCGGTGACGTCACGAGCGGAGCCGAAGTGAGCCAAGCGGAGCCGACGTTAGCGGAGTCCCCGCAACCTGGTCGCTATGCAACGCGAGTCAACAGCGGTGACGTCACCAAGGGGTAACAGCGTTGCTAGGATATACGCAAACACGGATGCATCACCGCTTCCTACTGTGACGTGGCAACAGGCACCGCTGCGGCTATTTAAGGGAACTGCACAGCAGCTACCAGTCAGATGTACTGTGACAGCCGCCGAGTTGTACTGTGACAGCCACCGAGTTGTAAAGTAACAGTCGCCGAGGAGAGTTATAAAGTGACAGTCGCCGAGTGTGTTATCAACAGTTCTCCAGTNTTCAGGGAGACTTGTATAGCTCCCGCGTTATTAGTACGTGAAGACAAGTGAAGATCGTGTTAAGAGATTTTGTTGTAGGGTTTGTAAAGTGTGGAAACCCGTAATATTGTAATAATTAATTGTAGCCGTTGTTTGTAGATTGTTGAATAAACCAATTAACGATCTCTACGGCGTATTCACTAATGAAACACGTTACAGTATTAAATGGGTATGCTACCACCCATCTTTTAATACTGGCTGTATTATGTAAATAAATTTTCATGAAAATCTTCCATTGCTAGGCAGCCACCAGTGCGCCAATGGGCTGGATTAGTAGTGATACTTGGGAATCCCAACACTAAAAGCAATAATGTTACAGCAATAGAGAAATTGTGTTCTCTATGTGGTCAATGCGAATATTTTATAACCGGGACAGTTTGGGGCAACCAGTTGGCTGCAAGGGTGCTCAGTTGAATATCAGGCTCTGAAGAAAAGACTAGGAAGCTGGTGTGAAATGGCCACCAACCTGGGACCTGATCACCTGAAAGCCAGAAGCTCAAGAGAAGGCATTTCGAAGGGAGCTGTAATTCAGAGGTGACTTGTGTCCAGAAGCAGAAAATAGCCATTGTTAGAAGCCATTACCATGCAACTACTAATGAAGACAGTGGACTGGAAAATACTTAGCATGTGCGCTAGTCATTTGTGAAGTGTATGGAATTTACTGATGGTGCTATAATTAAGTGGAATTAAAAGATGTCTGTTAAAGTGGTCATTAAATCCAATCTCAAATCAAAAAACCCCAATCTATAGTCACTCTGACATGTGACAATACATAGCATAAAATATAAATGGGATGGGAATTAGATTCTTATGCAAAACTGTTCTAAATACGAGCCCCACAATTAAGATGAACCCTGTGTTTGATCTGTTCATCAGTACTCGTTGATTACTTACCTTCTCAATATTGTCCTCCACATTCTTCAGCCTATTGGACAAAGTATGTGAGACTTGTTTAAACTTCTCCACCTGAGAACACAAAATATCTTTTTAATTTCCTTTGGTCATTTAACAAAAAGAAGAAAAACATGCCATGTTTCAAGCATCTCGGAAATATGTGTAACAACATGATACCCTTATACACTTTAGCTACAAGTCTCTTCACATTCTGAAAAGGAACATAAATTCTTGCCAGGGGAACTTTCCAGCATCAACATTCTGTTCAACATAATCAATGGCATCATAATCGATTAATATTTCTCATACCAGAAGTAAGTTTTAAGCCATTTGCAACTTTGCAACGCTGTGATGTAGCAGGAAATGTTCACTTGCAAATTCGTGATTGATTACTGCCTTCTTCAATGAGTATAATGGAATTTCATTCCCTCCAATAATGGGTATAAACAGTAAGTACATGCAATTGGCCACATTTTCATGCTAATCACATTATGATTAACTACCCAAAAGTATTCCAATCTCATGTCCAGTGCCTCAAATACTTGAACTTACAAGCAAAATTTTCTGCCACTTTGGTGCACTATTGTATGCTGCTTTTGAGTACATTTATATAATACTGTCCACCCTTCACTCAGACAATTCAGCCAATGTGCTTTCCACTGAAGTCTGTGTGACATATGTATGCTAGTATTTTCAAGGCCATAATATATATGAAACAATAGAAGAGGGATGGAATTATATTCATGTCCAGAATTGGCCTGAATACTAACCCCAAAATTGGGATGTACCCTCTGTTTTATGTGTTCATTGCTACTTTTTGATTACGTACCTTCTCCATGTGGTCCTCCACATTCTTCAGCTTTTTAGACAAAGTGTATGTGACTTCTTTATACTTCTCCACCTGAGAACAGAAAATACATTTTTAACTTTCTCTGGTCATGTAATAAAAAATAGAAAACTGGGTCATGTTTCAAACATCTCAGAAGTATGTGTAACCACATTATACTCTCATACACTTAAAACTACAAGTCTCTTCATACAGTGAGAGGGAACAAGGAATCTTGCCCTAGGGAACTTCCCAGCATCCAGCTTCTATGCAATATAATCAGTGATGTCAAAATCAATTCATATTTCACCTACCGGAAGTAAACATTAAGCCACATACAACTTCGTAACATCATGATGAATCAGTAAATGTAATCTTCAACTTTCTAATTTTCTTTAACAGATATAATGGAATTTCATCCCCCNCGAAGCATTGCTGTGTAGCAGACTGATAAATGTCCTGCGATGCACGGCCTAAACAATGGAACAACGGGGTTATGCAACCTGCTTATGGGCAACGGCTCGGTAAACAGATCTGTGCAGGTGAAATTATGTCACACTGCAACAGTGTTAGCTAACACGTGACTTGTTTTCTGTGTTTGTGCAGCATCTATTAACAAATATCTGTTTAAGTTTAAGTCAGTGGGGGGCCTAGGAGGGTTCACCCGTGGAGAGTTAACCAGTGGGCAATGCAAGCATAATAATCTCCATTGCTAAGATTTGTGTAGTAAAGGTACAGCAGAGGAATAGCCATTGTTGAGAGCTGTTATTAAGTAAAGACTAGTTAAAATAATTTGAGAAGCCTTAGTGTTGAGTGGTCTGTAGTGTGGAAATCAGCAACAGTGTAATAATTATTTCTAGTTACGAATTGTAGGTTGTTAATAAAACCAATTACCAGTTCACACCTGTGTCTCAGTCACCCTAAAACATTGACAATATATTTGTAATACTGCCCACACTTCATTAATTGCTGATGTCTGTGTGACATGCTTTTGAATCCTTCACACAAGGCATACAATAGAAGTGGGATGTGAATTATATTCTTGTCCAAAATTTGTATGAGTACAAGCTCCACAATTGAAATAAACTGTATGCTTCATCTATTCCTGACTACTTGTTGATTAAATACCTTCTTGATATGGTTCTCCACATTCTGCTGCCTATCAGACAAATTATCTGTCACTTCTTTAAACTTCTCCACCTGTGAAGATAAAATATATTTTTAAAGTCCATGATACATAGCATTCAATAGAAGTGTGATGGGAATTACATTCTTGTCCAGAATTGGTCTGAATATGAGCCTCACAATTGAGATCTACCCACTGTTTGATCTCTTCATTACTATTTGCTGATTACGTACCTTCTCAATTTTGTTCTCCATATTCTTCAGCCTGCTGGACAAAGTATCTGTGACTCGTTTCAACGTCTCCACCTGAGAACAAAAAATACCTTTTAATTTCCTCTGTCATTTAATAAAAAGCCGAAAAATATGCCATGTTTCAAGCATATCAGAAGTATGTGTAACAACATGATACACTTATACACTTTAGCTACAAGTCTCTTCACATTGCGACAAGGAACAGGGAATCTTCCATTAATGAGTATATAAGTTATGTACATGCAATTGGCCACTCCTTAATTCTGATCACATGATGATTAACTATCCAACAGTATGCCACCCTCATGTCCCACACCTCAGTTACATGAAAACCACAGCAGAATTTCCTGACATGTAAGTGTAGAGTTCTATGCTGCTTTTGAGTACATATCTGTTAATACTCCTTCATTCAGATAATTCACTGTTGATGTGCCCTGAAGTAAAGTCTCTGTGACATATATTCGAAACCTCAATACATCGTATTCAATAGAAGTGGGAGGTGAAATACATTCTGGTCCATAATTGGGCTGAGTACAAGCCCCACAATTGAAATAAGCTATATTCCTCATCTATTCATGGCTAATTGTTGATTAAATACCTTCTTGACATGGTCCTCCACATTCTTCTGCCTATCGGACAAATTATCTGTCACTTCTTTAAACTTCTCCACCTGTGAAGATAAAATATATTTTTAAAGTCCATGATACATAGCATTCAATAGAAGTGTGATGGGAATTACATTCTTGTCCAGAATTGGTCTGAATATGAGCCTCACAATTGAGATCTACCCACTGTTTGATCTCTTCATTACTATTTGCTGATTACGTACCTTCTCAATTTTGTTCTCCATATTCTTCAGCCTGCTGGACAAAGTATCTGTGACTCGTTTCAACGTCTCCACCTGAGAACAAAAAATACCTTTTAATTTCCTCTGTCATTTAATAAAAAGCCGAAAAATATGCCATGTTTCAAGCATATCAGAAGTATGTGTAACAACATGATACCCTTATACACTTTAGCTACAAGTCTCTTCACATTGCGACAAGGAACAGGGAATCTTCCATTAATGAGTATATAAGTTATGTACATGCAATTGGCCACTCCTTAATTCTGATCACATGATGATTAACTATCCAACAGTATGCCACCCTCATGTCCCACACCTCAGTTACATGAAAACCACAGCAGAATTTCCTGACATGTAAGTGTAGAGTTCTATGCTGCTTTTGAGTACATATCTGTTAATACTCCTTCATTCAGATAATTCACTGTTGATGTGCCCTGAAGTAAAGTCTCTGTGACATATATTCGAAACCTCAATACATCGTATTCAATAGAAGTGGGAGGTGAAATACATTCTGGTCCATAATTGGGCTGAGTACAAGCCCCACAATTGAAATAAGCTATATTCCTCATCTATTCATGGCTAATTGTTGATTAAATACCTTCTTGACATGGTCCTCCACATTCTTCTGCCTATCGGACAAATTATCTGTGACTTCTTTAAACTTCTCCACCTGTGAACATAAAATATATTTTTCATTTCTTCTGTTCATTTAATAAAATGCCGAAAAACATGCTATGTTTCAAGCATCTCGGAAGTATGTGTAACAACATGATACCCTTATACACCTTAGCTGCAAGTCTCTTCACATTCTGAAGAGGAACATAAAATCTTGCCAGGGGAACATTCCAGCATCAACATTCTGTTCAACATAATCAATGGCATCATAATCGATTAATATTTCTCATACCAGAAGTAAGTTTTAAGCCATGTGCAACTTTGTAACGCTGTGATGTAGCAGGAAATGTTCACTTGTAAATTCTCAATTGATTACTGCCTTCTTCAATGAGTATAATGGAATTTCATTCCCTCCAATAATGGGTATAAACAGTAACTACATGCAATTGGCCACATTTTCATGCTAATCACATTATGATTAACTATCCAAAAGTATTCCAATCTCATGTCCAGTGCCTCAAATACTTGAACTTACAAGCAAAATTTTCTGCCACTTTGGTGCACTATTGTATGCTGCTTTTGAGTACATTTATATAATACTGTCCACCCTTCACTCAGACAATTCAGCCGATGTGCTTTCCACTGAAGTCTGTGTGACATATGTATGCTAGTATTTTCAAGGCCATAATATATATGAAACAACAGAAGAGGGATGGAATTATATTCATGTCCAGAATTGGCCTGAATACTAACCCCAAAATTGGGATGTACCCTCTGTTTTATGTGTTCATTGCTACTTTTTGATTATGTACCTTCTCCATGTGGTCCTCCACATTCTTCAGCTTTTTAGACAAAGTGTATGCGACTTCTTTATACTTCTCCACCTGAGAACAGAAAATACATTTTTAACTTTCTCTGGTCATGTAATAAAAAATAGAAAACTGGGTCATGTTTCAAACATCTCAGAAGTATGTGTAACCACATTATACTCTCATACACTTAAAACTACAAGTCTCTTCATACAGTGAGAGGGAACAAGGAATCTTGCCCTAGGGAACTTCCCAGCATCCAGCTTCTATGCAATATAATCAGTGATGTCAAAATCAATTCATATTTCACCTACCGGAAGTAAACATTAAGCCACATACAACTTCGTAACATCATGATGAATCAGTAAATGTAATCTTCAACTTTCTAATTTTCTTTAACAGATATAATGGAATTTCATCCCCCCCCCCAGTAATGGGTAAATAAGTTAACTACATGCCATGTCTTAATGCTTATTTCACAATGCTTAACTACTCAACAGAATGCCATTCTCATGTTCCATGCCTGAATTACATTAACAGCTGAGCAAAAATTTCTGCCATGTTGGTGAACTGTTGTATGGTGCTTCTGAGTATATTATAACATGGCTGGCTGAAGTGTTGCTGCGTAGCGGACTGATAAATGTCCTGCGATACACGCCCTAAACAATGGAATAACGGAGTTATGCAACCCACTTATAGGCAACGGCTCGGTAAATAGACGTCTGTGGAGGTGCAATTATGTCACACTGTAACAGTACTAGTTAACATGGAACTCGTTTTCTATGTTTGTGCAGCATCTATTAACAAATTTGTTTTAATGCTAGTGGGGTGGGACTAAGTCCCTTCTCCTGCGGCCACTTCTGGCCTATTGTACCAGCCCCCGATGATAGGTGAGGGTAATTGTGGAGCTATTGGTGGAATGAAGATTGGCAGGGGAAACCGAAGTACTCGGAGAAAACCTGCCCCAACACCACTTTGTCCACCACAAATCCCACTTGACCAGACCCAGGATTGAACCCGGGCCACTGCGGTGGGAAGCCAGTGATTAACCCCTTGAGCTAAGGCATGGCCCTTCTGTTTAAAGTTAAGTCAGTGGAGAGCCCAGGAGGGTTCACCTGTGGACAGTTAACCAGTGGGCAATGCAAGCATAATAATCTCCATTGCTAAGATTTGTGTAGTAAAGGTACAGCAGAGGAATAGCCATTGTTGAGAGCTGTTATTAAGTAAAGACTAGTTAAGATAATCTGAGAAGAGTTAGTGTTTAGTGATCTGTAGTGTGGAAGTCGGCAATAGTGTAATAATTCCTTGTAGTTGTGACTTGTAGGTTGTTAAAAAACCAATTACCAATCCATACCTGCATCTCAGTCACCCAAAAACGTTGACAATATATTTGTAATACTGCCCACACTTCATTAATTGCTGATGTCTGTGTGACATGCTTTTGAATCCTTCACACAAGGCATACAATAGAAGTGGGATGTGAATTATATTCTTGTCCAAAATTTGTATGAGTACAAGCTCCACAATTGAAATGAACCATATGCTTGATCTATTCCTGACTACTTGTTGATTAAATACCTTCTTGATATGGTCCTCCACATTCTGCTGCCTATCGGACAAATTATCTGTCACTTCTTTAAACTTCTCCACCTGTGAAGATAAAATATATTTTTAAAGTCCATAATACATAGCATTCAATAGAAGTGTGATGGGAATTATATTCTTGTCCAGAATTGGTCTAAATATGAGCCCCACAATTGAGATCTACATACTGTTTGATCTGTTCATTGCTATTTGTTGATTACGTACCTTCTCAATTTTGTTCTCCACATTCTTCAGCCTGCTGGACAAAGTATCTGTGACTCGTTTAAACTTCTCCACCTGAGAACAAAAAATAGCTTTTAATTTCCTCTGTCATTTAATAAAAAGCCAAAAAAACATGCCATGTTTCAAGCATATCAGAAGTATGTGTAACAACATGATACCCTTATACACTTTAGCTACAAGTCTCTTCACACTGTGAGAAGAAACAGGGAATCTAGCACTGGGGAACTTCCCAGCATCCACCTTCTATGCAATATAATCACCAACTTCATAACTGAATCATAGTGTGACATGTGTAACCGTTGCTGGGCAAAGGGAGGTGGAATGAGTTACCACGAAGGCAGACCCTTGATAAATGGTTGGTTGACAAGTTACGCAACAGTGAAAACTAGGTTACGCCACAGTAAGGAAAGCGGTGTTTCTCCATGCTGTGCCAAGTAATGCTGAAGTGAGCCGAGCCCAAGCGCGCTGGTTGCTACACAGCAATAAACAACTAGTTGCACCATTGCCCAGCAATGCCTTTGTAAACACAGTGTCACACAACAGGGGGAGCCTGTGCAGTGACTGTTGCTAGGCAATCGGTAAACACAACATCATGCAAAAGTGAAAGCTATCATGTAACTTTCTTCTGTGTTGTCAGTGCGGAAGTTACTAGAGTAGTGAGTAGTGAGTATTGAGCCAGTTGCTAGAGAGAGAGTAACCAGTCAGTTGCAGTCTAGTATTCGCCGGAGTCAGTTGAAGTCTAGCAGTCGCTGAGTTCAGTGTATCGAGTGAATGTAAATGTAAGAGCGAGTGGAATAAATTCTCCAGGATGGCGTGAAGTTATTTGTCGCGTGATAGACAACCAATACGTGACAATTTGGTGTCAGAATTGGTTTACAAACTTAAACACGCCTCGAAGAACAGTTGAATTTATGAGTACATTGAGTGTTATCCTGCAAAAAAAAAAAAAAGAAAGAAAATGTTCTCCCAGCAGTTGATGGAGATGGAAAATTTGTTCGAACGCCTGCTGCCTGCTGGAGAAAATGGACGCCGATAGACAGGCTGACAAAGAAGATTTCCCGGCAAGATTAGATGCCAATAGGAAGACTGACAAAAAGGAAATGCTGAAAGAGATGAAGGCCAACCAAGTAAAAGCAAATGCCGACCGAGTGCACATGCATGAAATGTTCAGAGCCTATCAAGACAGAATAGAGGCCAATAGGGATATCGATCGGGAAGACAGGAAGGCTGATCGAAGAAACCTAAAAGAAACGATGAAAATGATGGCCGCCAGGCTAGAAAAGACTGACACCAGCCATGAGGAGATGGTGGCCAAAACTAAACCGGAAAGAGACCTGGAGACGATGGCCTGCCAACAAACAACAGAGGCACGTCTAGAAGAGGAAAAGCCGACCTCAGTGGACATGAAACCTGAGATGGCAGAACAAGACGCCGAAGCAATGCCGGTCAGAGAACTGAAGAAAAAAAGGCGTAGGGACCAAAAACTGGCTGCGGAGCACCGCCGCCAGAAACCAAAGAATTCGACAAGGGAAAAGTGTGAATCCCAGAAAAGACTGGTCGACACCCACAGAGGGATGAGCCGCTGTGTGAAAGTGACATGGCAGACTAAGAAAAATGACAAGAAGATGTCCTGCCTTGCAACAGTGGCATAACTCAAGAGAGACATCCTCAGGAACACCACTCAGAAAAAGTGTGGACCCCACAAGAGATTGGGATGTCACATGACATACACTCAACACATGACAATATTTATCCTACTGGAAGTACACTGTAAGGCAAATGGAACTTTGTAACACTATAATGAAGCAGTAAATGTTCTCTTCCAGTTTCTAATTTTCAATACTGGCCTTCCTTAATAAACATAATGGAATTTCAACCCTTCCAGTAATTAGTATATACTCGTAAGTTACGTACATGCAATTGGCCACTTCTTAATTCTGATCACATGATTAACTACCCAACAGTATGTCACCCTCATGTCCAACACCTCAGTTACATGAAAACCTCAGCAGAATTTCCTAACATATAAGTGTACAGTACTATGCTGCTTTTGAGTACATATCTGTTAATACTGTTCATCCTTCATTCAGATAATTCACTGTTGATGTGCCCTGAAGTAAAGTCTCTGTGACATTCATTCGAAACCTCAATACATGGTATTCAACAGAAGTGGGAGGCGAAATACATTCTGGTCCCTAATTGGGCTGAGTACAAGCCCCCACAATTGAAATAAGCCATGTTCCTCATCCGTTCATGGCTAATTGTTGATTAAGTACCTTCTCGATAAGGTCCTCCAGCTTCTTCTGCCTATCGGACAAATTATCTGTGACTTCTTTAAACTTCTCCACCTGTGAACATAAAATATATTTTTCATTTCTTCTGTTCATTTAGTAAGGAGCAGAAAAACTTTCCATGTTTCAAGCATCTCAGAAGTATGTGTAACAATATGATACCCTTATTCACTTTAGCTGCAAGTCTCTTCACATTCTGAAAAGGAACATAAAATCTTGCCAGGGGAACTTTCCAGCATCCACATTCTGTTTAACATAATCAACAGCATCATAATCGATTAATATTTCTCATACCAGAAGTAAGTTTTAAGCCATGTGCAACTTTGCAATGCTGTGATGTAGTAGGAAATGTTCACTTGCAAATTTTCAATTGATTACTGCCTTCTTCAATGAGTATAATGGAATTTCATTCCCTCCAATAATGGGTATAAACAGTAAGTACATGCAATTGGCCACATTTTCATGCTAATCACATTATGATTAACTACCCAACAGTATTTCACTCTCATGTCCAGTGCCTCAATTACTTGAACTTACAAGCAAAATTTTCTGCCACTTTGGTGCACTATTGTATGCTGCTTTTGAGTACATTTATATAATACTGTCCACCCTTCACTCAGACAATTCAGCCGATGTGCTTTCCACTGAAGTCTGTGTGACATATGCATGCTAGTATTTTCAAGTCCATAATATATATGAAACTATAAAAGATGGATGGGATTATATTCATGTCCAGAATTGGTCTAAATATGAGCCTCACAATTGAGATGTTTGATCTGTTCATTGCTATTTATTGATTATGTACCTCCTCAATTTTTTCATCCACATTCTTCATCCTGTTGGATAAAGTATCTGTGACTTCTTTAATATTCTCCACCTGTGAACATAAGATATATTGTTCATTTCCTCTGGTTAATTAATAAAAAGCAGGAAAACATGCCATGTTTCAAGCATATCAGAAGTTTGTGTAAAAATATGATACCCTTATACACTTTACCTACAAGTCTCTTCACATTGGGACAAGGAACAGAGAAGGTTGCCCTGATGAACTTCCCAATTCCGATCATTCACCTTCTGCTCAATATAATTGCCAACATCACAATCGATTTACATTTCTCCTGCAGCAAATATGGGCGAGGGCACACCAAGGAAACTGGCAACCGAATGCAAACGCAATTTCCGATAAGAATCGCCGATTTCACGGATGATACTGGTTTCAAAATTAGCGGGCGCACACTGAAGAAACTTATGTTTGAATAGTTGCTCACACCACCTTTGGGTATGTTCGTCCGATGTAATGCATGATTGTATTTCTTTAATTTTGTGCACTTACCTTCTGCAATGGAAGATAATAATACTGATCCTGTCATAGTATGGTGGTAGTTGAGACCAAACGAGAAGGCATGAGAAGAGAGAACAACAACCATAAGAAAAATATTGGAATGCTAATTACTCTGTTTTAATTAAGGTCAATTTATTTTAATCTGGAAATATCACGTATACACGTGATACAAAATTTTGACATACAGAGCAACAATTTTAGCAAGGTAGAAGACACCTTGGCGTGTCCTCAGGTGGCGGATTGAGGAGATGCTCTCCAGTTTTGGAGGGAAGCTGCGAATATATTGAATATGCAGTTGCGGACATCCGACAAGGGGTGGTCCTCCAGGTTGGGCGTGGGGCTAACAACTCCTCATTGTGAAAATAATTATGTTATGAAAATGAACACAAAGCCTCAGACCTGGACAGATTCCTTGGATAAACGACCTAAGCTAAAGAAAATGGATATGAGAGTTGGCACTTAGAATGTCTGAAGTTTGTATAGGGCAGGTTCACTCAGGGCAATGGCAGGAGAAATCTTAAAATATAAGTTAGATTTTGCGGGAGTACAGGAGGTCAGATGGGATGGAGGTGGCATCGCACCAGCAGCAGCCTATACATTTTTCTGTGGAAAGGGGAATGAATATCACGAATTAGGTACAGGTTTTTTTGTACATAAGAGAATCGTATCAGCAGTTAAGAGGGTAGAGTTCGTTAGTGGTAGGATATCATATATAATACTAAGGTTGCTGGTGTGATATCATTGCTATGAATGTACCCTATGACAATTCTGTTAGGAGATTTCAATGCCAAAGTAGGGAGGGAAGACATTTTCAAACCAATAATTGGGAACGAGAGTTTGCATGAAATTAGTAATGATAATGGAGTTAGAGTAGTAAACTTTGCCATATCAGATAATCTTATTGTCAAAAGTACAATGTTCCCACATCATAACATCCATAAATTTACTTGGACATCTCCTGATGGGAAGATACACAATCAAATAGACCATATCTTGATAGATAGGAGATGGCACTCAAGTATACTTGATGTCCAATCATTCAGGGCAACAGATTGTGATACTGACCACTACCTGATAATGGCAAAGGTTAGGGAAAGACTGGCAGCGAGCAAACAAACAACACACAGAGTTCATATGGAGAGGTTCAATCTCAAGAAATTAAATGAGGTAGAGGGTAAAGAGCAGTACTGTGTTGAAATCTCAAATCTCCACACGCTGTGGAGGAAACACACAAACCAAGGGCATATGGCAGTTATAACTGAAAAGTAGGCTACAAACGTGAGGGACAAGCTGCCGAGACAAAACACTCTGGACAGACGTACATTTATGAAAATTGACGACGCCCCATGTGAGGTGAAATAATATGCACTAAAATAATGTGAGTATAATAGAAAATGTAAAGGATTTTATCTGGTTTTACCTTGAAAAGAGGACTACAGTGTGTGATTTTAACATGAACTAAGACAGTTTAGCAGTTTTAACACAATTTAATAAAATAACTGTAACATATCTAGACACCCAAAGATGGCTGTTTGGGGCCGAAACATGTAGTGTCGAGGTGTAGAATGTTAAACTAAAAATTGAGTGGTGAATGGAAGAGTGTTGTGATACTGACAGAAGATAAATAATGGACAATAAGTTGAACAATTGCAACAGGATGCTGAAATACAGAATTGAGAATATTTGGACCAAAGAGTGACGAAGTGACAGGGGGTTGGAGAAAACTGCACAATGAGGAACTTCATAACTTATACTCTTATCCAAGTATAATTAGAATGCTCAAGTCAAGGAGGATGAGTTGGGCAGGGCATGTTGCACGAATGGGGGAGATGAGGAATGCATATAGATTATGGGTTGGAAAGCCAGAAGGAAAGAGACCAGGATAGGGACCAGTGGAGTGCTCTTGTGAACATGGTAATGCACCTTCGGGTTCCATAAAATGCTGGGAAATTCTTGAGTAGCTGCAGAATTGGTGGCTCCTCCAGAAGGGCACAGCTCCATGAGTCAGTAAGTAAGTAAGTAAGTAAGTAAGTAGGTAAGAAGACACCTAGCGGCCCCCGTAGTCTAGGGGTAACGTTCCCACCTTGTGACTCAAGGTACGCAGGTTCAAACCTGGCAGAGGTTGTGGAATTTTTAAGGGCGGAAAAATTCAGGGAACAAGTCCTCTGGGAGGGACTTTAAGCCGTGGGTCACGTGTCATAGATTTACGGCACGTAAAAGATCCCAAGTAGTTTCCAATGCCTCCGGTAGATGGGTAAGCATTGGGTACCGCAGCCAGCCTCGCTGGCTGAACGNTTAATGTGGAAGGGTGGCTATATAATGAGTTGTATTTAAGATGGAAATATATGTGAAATAAATGATATATTAATCAAACAGGATGTCTAAATACAATATTAGGGAAACAAAACTTTGAGTGCATTCATTCTTCTTGTGACAATTTAAACTGACGCTCATATATTGTTTCGAAAGAACTTAACCTTCGTCTCATGAAAAATTCTTTCTGAAGCCAAATCTATTTTCTCCTGCCTGCCTGTCTGAGTGGCGTTTGTTATATATACCAGGCTCTTGCTGATCACTGATGCATGTTATAGAACATCTGACATTGGGAAAGTTTCCTTGGTGTGCCCTCGCCCTAAATGTATTCTTTCAATTTCTAATTTTCAGTACTGCGCTGCTTTATTAAATATAATGGAATTTCATCGCCTACAGTAATACGTGGTGCAATCCAATTCCCGAAATTTGAATTTTGCATGTGAATGGTTACAAGTACATCGAAATACCGCTAGGTGTCTCCCCACACACCTTTCTTGAATCACTGTGGAAAACGGCGTCGAGTTGAGTGGTTGCGTTTATTCTTGGTGAACGTATTTCCATTGTTGTTTCAGTGAGTGTGTGGTTTTGTGATAGCCGACCTGAGAGAGTGGTGTGTCTATATAAAGTTTTGTTTTAAACTTGGGAAAACCGCTGCAGAAACGCACCAAATATTGAAGCAAGCTTTTGGTGACAACAGTTTAGGTCAGAAACAAACTTACGACTGGTATAAGCCTTTCAAAAATGACAGAACATGACGATCGTTCGGGATGGCCGTCAACTGGCACCACACCAGAAAATGTCGCGAAAGTTAGGGATCTGATTCTGCAAGATCATATACTGACCATCCAAGGCCTCTGTAAAACCTTGGGACTAAGTTATGGTACATGTCAACGAATTTTGCCAGAGGAACTGAACATGAGGATGATTGCGGCGAAGTTTGTGCCACAACTGCTGCAAAATGAACAGAAGCAGCATCGCCTGGAAGTCTGCAGGGAGCTTCAACAACAGCTTCAAGAGGATCCAGACTTTCTTTTGAAGGTTGTCACTGGTGACGAAAGTTGGGTTTATGGCTGTGACCCTGAAAGCGAGCAGCAATCATTGCAATGGAAGAGCCCTTCTTCACCTAGGCCAAAATAGCTCGACAAGTCAAGAGCAACATTTTTTTTATTGCTAGTGGGGTGGGACTAAGTCCCTTGTCTTGCGGCCACTTCTGGCCTATTGTACCAGACCCAGATGATAGGTGAGGGTGAGGGTGATTGTGGAGCAATTGGTGGAATGAAGATTGGCAGGGGAAACCGAAGTACTTGGAGAAAACCTGCCCAGCGCCACTTTGTTCACCACAAATCCTACTTGACCAGACCCGAGATCGAACCTGGGCTGCCACCGTGGGAAGCCAGTGACTAACCGCTTGAGCTATGGCGTGGCCAAGAGCAACATTTTTTTTTAATATTGATGGGACCCCCTCTTTGGTGTCTCCACCTTATCGTGGTGAGGGGGTTTGAGTATGCCAAGGACCCTGAGAGCTATACCAGTGGTAGCGTAGCTAGTGGCAGGGCCTCCCTTGCTGGACAGGTCAAAGGGTAGGCATCAGACGAAGAGAGACACCAAAAACCAAAAACTGATGCCGGAAGCAGCGTCATCAGCAGTGACTTGAAGCACAGAGCAAATGATGCTCAAGATGGTTCAAGTTTGTATAGCAACAGGCGTGACCAGAGTGGTTTGAACGGCTGTTGTACTGCGATGCAGAAAGCAAATGGAGAAACTATCACATTATCACTTTTCGTGGAAAGTCTCTTTCCAAAAACAGAGATACCATGTATGCGAGATCCAGAAGACGAGGAAGAAGACGTAAGAAGATGCTGGATGACCTTGGGGACATAAGAGGATATTTTTATTTGAAAGAGAAAGCTGTAGATCGCATTAAGTGGAGGAACTGTTTTGGAAGAGACTGTGGACCTGTCATCTGACAGATTACTGATGAATGAATGACTGAATTGACGGGATTGTTCATAAGGAGTTCATCCCTCCTGGTCAGACAGTCAATAAAGAGTTCTTCGCGATGTTCTAAGCCATTTGAGGGAGGACATGAGGAGAAAACGTCCAGAGAAGTGGCCCATGGACTGGGTACTCCACCATGACAACTCACGACTGCATACGGCTTACATTGTACAGAAATTTTTGGCTAAAAACAAGATTCTATAATAGCAGTATATCTATTTTATATAAATATAGGAATATTGTTTATGAAGTAACAGACGCCTTGTAGAAATCTTTTTACTTCTAGCCTTAAGAGCTCTGTAACCGATTTTGGGTAATGCTTTTTGTTGTTCTCAGACAAAATGTCCATCATTGTTGCCCTTTGGTCCTCGTACTGTTTACAGTCCTAGAAGATATGTTCCTCTGTATGCAGCCCATCACCACATTCACATTTGGCAATGGACACAATGTTAAATCTATTTAGGCTTCAAACTGACACTATTACAGTAATACCACTGATGCCATCTATCGTTCATGAATGGAACTAGTTACAGAGAATGTTTGTTTATGTAATGTGCTAGTTTCAACTTGTTTGATTGATGCAATGAGTATTGCAATTGTTTTGGTGAAGTTAGTTTTTTTGTTGAGTCAGAAGTTTCAAAATGGAACAAATAACAGCGATTAAGTTTTGTGTAAAATTTAGAAAACATCTCCTGAAACATTTGAGGTTTTCACAGTGGTGACTATGAAGAAGGCAGTCTTCTTGGATGGGTGCCGTGTAGAAATTGTGTTAACTGACGTTACAGAGGAACGTATCCAGCTTGAGCAGGTGCAACAGACTGAGGCCAGTGGAGTAAACGCAGCTGTGTAGAGAAGGAAGGGAAGTGAGTGAGCATACATGAGGAAACAGTAGAGAGGGGGGAGGGCAAGGGTCTGGTGAAGTGGCTAGGAGGTAGCAGGCCAGAGCAGGTATAGAGTATGTGTCAGTGTGTCGGGGAGAGAAGAAGGAAGATGAGATGGAAGGCATTAACTCTGCAGCTCGGAGGCTGCGATGGACCTGCTTGGCCTTGTGGATCTTCGAGATATGACACCAGATCCACAAGGCCACGCAGGTCCATCGCAGCCCCTGAGCTACAGGGTTAATGTCTTCCATTTAACCTTCCCTCCTCTCTCCCTGACACATACTTTATACCTGCTCTGGCCTTCTACCTGCTGGCCACTTCAGCAGACCTTTCCCCTCCCCCCTCACTTCCATTTCACCATGTAGCCCCACTCATTTCCCTTCCTTCTCTATACAGCTGTGTTTACTCAACTAGACTCAGTCTGTTGCACTTGCTCAAGCTGGTTCATTTGCAGATTTCTTCTTGTCTTCTACCCAAGATAGAGGCAATACATTCCTCCGAAACGTCGGTTAAGACAATTCCTACATGGTGATACATCCCAGAAGACTGCTTTCTTCATCTCCTGAAACGTTTAAAGTGTTGTAAAGTTCGTACGATGAAGAATGTTTATCGAGAACAAGTGTGTTCAAAGAGGGGCAAGAGATGTTACAAGACGATTAACAGAAAGTGCCGGAAAAGCATACTGTAAACCATAAATTTTATAAAGAGGTGATTAAAAAATTGAGCCCTGAGTGTCAGGAAATTGGTCCTGGTATCTTCTGCACAATGCACTGGTGCACCCCTCGGGCATTGTCTCCTGGTTTTTGCATCCACACTACTACCATGATTTATCAGGGGCTAATTCTTTTTTATTCCCAAAATTAAAAAATTGCAATGAAAGGGACGAGATTCAACGACGTTTCATCGATCCAACAGACTGTGACGAGAGAACTAAAGGGAATATGGGAAGAAGCGTTTCTTGTGCATTCAGTTTTTGTATGAGCAATGTAAACATTCTGCGGAATTCAGAGGGGATGGTATTGAGTGTTGGTATTAATATTTTTTTTCTTTTTTGTTTATGTTTCTATGGCCTCAGTTCGGGAACTTAATTGTCACACAGCGTGTCTGTAATACTCTTCCACTTTCATTCAGATAACTCATTGCTGATATGTCCTCAAGTAAAATCTTCTGCTACTTTCAGAACCTGAATACATGGCATACAATATAAGTGGAACTGGAAATTTCATTCTGGTTCAAAATTGGTCTAAACATGGACCCCACAGCTGAAATAAACCCAATATTTGAGCTGTTCATTGCTACCTTCTTGATATGGTCCTCCAACTTCTTCAGCCTATCGGACAAAGTATCGATGTCTTCTTTAAACTTATCCACCTGAGAACAAAAAAAGGGTTTTTAATTTCCTCTGGTCATTTAATAAAAACTGAAAAGTGTGCCATGTTTCAAGCATCTCAAAAGTATGTATAACAATATGATACTCATACACTTTAGCTACAAGCTTTCACACTGTGAGGAGGAACAGGGATTCTTTCCTGGGGAACTGATTCATATTTATCCTGCTGGAAGTAAACATTAAGCCAAATGTGACTTTGTAACACTATGATGAAGCAGTAAATGTTTACTTTAAGTTTCTAGTTTCCTGTACTGCTCTCCCTTAATGAATATAATGGAATTACATCCCCTCCAGTAATGAGTATATAAGTTAACTACATGCAATTGTCGACTTCTTAATGCTGATCACATGACAATTAACCAGCCAACAGTACACCACTCTCATGTCCCATGCCAGAATTATGTGAACTCTGCAAAATTTTCTGCCATGTTGGTGTACTCTTATATGTGCTTATGAGTATATATCTGTAATGCTGTCCATCCTTCATTCAGATAATTCATTGCTGATGTGCCCTCAAGTAATGTCTGTATGACATATATACGCTAAACTCAAATCCCTAATACAAAGCATACTATATTCAGTATAAGTAGGATGCAAATTACATTCTTGTCCAAAGTTCGTCCAAATAGGAGCCCCAGAATTTTGATGAACCATGTCTTTGATGTTGTCATTTCTGCTTGTTGAGTAGGTATCTTCTCAGTGGGGTGCTCCATATTGTTCAGCCTCTGAGAGAAAGACTCTGTGACTTCTCCAACCTTTTGCACCTGTCAACATAAAATATATTTTAATGTAATCTGCTCTTACAATAAAGAGCTGCAATACATGTCATGTGTCAGGGATCTCAAATGTATGTGTAACAACATTTTTACACTTTAGCTGCAAGACTATTAACATTGAGAGAAGGAACGGAATAAACGCTATTGGTCTTCTAAGCGTCAAAAATGTTTGCAGCATTATTATCAATGTTATAATCGTCTCATATTTCTCTTACCAGAACTACACATTGGGCCAAGTGCAACTTTGTAAGACTGTAATATAGCAGTACAATTTGACTTTCAATTTCATATTTTTAATACTAGCTTTCTTTAATGAACGTAAAGGAATTTCATCCCCACCACTAATATGTATGTCAGTTATGTATATTATTGCCCATTTCTTAATGCCAAACATATGTAATATAAAATGCCTGTATAAATAAACTGTCAACAAATCATTACAAAATTCTGTCTTCCTTAAGTGATTTTTTGCAATGTTCATCATTACTCATTGTTCAGGTACCTTCTTGTCATTAACATTCACATTGTTGAGCTGCATGTGTGGTGTAGCTGTGACTTTTTTCTGAATCTGTAATCAAAAAATATCACCATTATGTTGTTGCAGCTGTGAAATGTTTCACGTGCTCAAGGTCCTCAACAGTAACTGTAACTATATATTTTTTTCTGTCACATAAAGTAGAAGTCTTTAACATCACTGAAACATTTACAGATTTCCTTCCTGTTGTACTTCCAGAGTCCAAGTTCTATGGAATTTCCTGATCCAAACTATGTGGATTTCATTTTTCTTTCACCTAAAATACAGGTTCAGTCACATGTAGCTTTGAGACAGACTCGGGTACTGGTATATACAAATTCTTCATGTTACGTTTCTTGAAAAGTCAAACAGTTCCATCTAGTGTGACTGTTGAAGATTTTTCTTTTTTCAATTATTTATGCCCTTACATGTTTTGGTCTTCAGAGACCATCATCAGAGGGACACCTTTACATCAATACAGTAGGAAGTCACTATTACAATATACAAAGGGCATTCCATATATAATGCCTCCTATTTTTTTTTTTGTTAATATGTAACATCTGAGCTGGATGTTGGTGGTGTTGTAGTAAAGGCTGAACCTTCCTGCCAATGTAATGTTAGTTTGGTTGTCGTGCGACAGATAGCAACAGCAGAGCAGTCTACCAAAATGGCATCTGACATAGAAGTGCGTACGAAACAGAAATGTGTTATTGAATTTCTCACTGCTGAACAAATTGCACCCACTGACATCCACTGACGCTTGCTAAAGATGTGTGGAGATGATACAGTGAGGCAGTGGGTAGTGCGTTTCAATAGTGGTGAAAGTGAAGTGCACGACAAGCAACACCCTGGTCGTTCCTGCTCAGCTGCCACTCCTCACAATGAACAGCACCTCAATCACCTCATCCATACAGATTGGTGGATAACGACCAATGAACTGTGTGCATGGCTTAATATTGGCTGTAATGCATTGGAAACAATGTTGGGGAAGCTGGATTATTGCAAAATTTGTTCCAGGTGGGTCCCGTGGATGCTTACACAAGACCACAAAACTCATCGAATGGAAGTCTGTCAGGACCTGTTGCACCAGATTGAGGCTGAAGGTGATAAGTTTCTGGACAGCATCGTCACCGGAGATGAGATGTGGTGTCACCACTATGAGCTGGAATCCAAAAGACAGTCCATGGAGTGGTGACATCCGGATTCCCCAAGAAGAAAGAAGTTCAAGACACAGCCATCGACAGGGAAAGTGATGTGCATGGTCCTTTGGGATAGGCGGAGTGTGATTTTGTTCAATTTCCTGGAGCCTGGTGAGACTGTCAATTCTGAAAGCTACAAGACGATGCTGACTAAGCTGAAAGCCCGCATTTCCCGAGTCAGACCAGAGAAGCAGACAAACTTTTGCTTGCAACATGATAACGCTAGACCCCATGCCATTTTGGCGACCACCGTACACATTGCAAATTTTGGCTAGACTGTCCTACCACATCCACCTTATAGCCCCGATTTAGCACCTTCAGACTTCCATCTCTTTGGGCCTATGAAAGACGGACTACGTGGGCAACATTTTCCAGACAACGATGCTGTCATTGTAGCTGTAAGAAAGTGTCTAGCCTCTGCTGGCAAAGACTTTTATGGGCGCGGCATACAGGCTCTTGTTCATCGCTGGCAAAAGTGCATAACCAATGGTGGTGATTATGTGGAAAAATAACTGCAAGTAGCTGAAATCTTTCTCTGTTTAACTGCATTATTATGCTTTCTGTATCTGTTGTAGTTTTCCTTAAAAAAATAGGAGACATTATATATGTAATGCTCCTCGTATGTTCTGAAAGTTAAAATGTATACATATAATATTAATAATATGTAATTGGGTATAAATTCTAAAGTCTTTACAACTACAGTGGCTGTTCTAATACATTAGAATATTTATCATTGATCTGTTAAAACTCTATTGGAATTTGTAAACGAAGCAGGTTCGTGTCGTCCCTCTTATTATTTATCTTGACGGGGGCCAAACGTGTGCCTCCTTGACAGTCTTGAGAAGAGGGTTTTTGTTTGATGTTGTCCTGTATGTGTTTGTGGCGCCAAAAACACATACAGGACAACATCACAGAACCCTCTTCTCGAGAACAACAAGGAGGAACACATCTTGCAACCTGCTGGGACTCCACAGCCAGTTACAGGGGTTGCTTTACTTTTATTAATAGGTGTGCTTGATATGTGGTATTGAATCAAGTCATGTTTATCCTGCATATTTCATTGGACAATCTAAACATTTAAAAAACAAAAACAAAAGCAGTACAGTGAAGCAATTATATGTATCTCCCTGATGATGAGCATATAATTTTGATATAATTTGTAGAAGTGACATTTATGAAAGAGTGACAATGTAGCACGCAACAGTCTTCGAGCATGACAAGAATTTACACATTCAAGACAACCCATGGAAGTCAAATCATTCCCAAATTCAGGAAGCTGAACAGTAACTGTAAGAACAGTAACATGCTTTAGGCATGAGCCTCTTAACACTGTGGAGAAATGATGAAATCTCTCTGGTGGTCGTCCGTGAAGGCAACTTGTATTTGATTTCCCCATTATCAAAGTTCTTCCACCGCAACTATGTGTTCAGTCCACTGTCAGGTTGAGACATTATAATGTACAAGATGCCTCTGAATTAATATTTTTAAAATATTGCCCATTTATTTATAATACTGCATTTCTGCCACACCTCAAGCTATCAATATATCAGATGTGCATGTTGTCTCCTAATTCTTAATGCAGAACATATTATGTAGGTGGAATGTAAATCAATTTTTCTGCATTAATTGGGAATAAAGTTACAAAAAATTTTAAGAAGAATTTTTGGTGCATTTTAATTCTGTAAGCAGGAAAGTACCTGAAATTCCTTCTGTTTAAATGCATTTCTTCTGCTGTTCGTCATTGCTGATTGCTCAGATACCTTCTTGATACAGACTTCCTGCATTTTAAATATCTTGGATGTAGTCTCATTCTTATTTTTTTTCTGTGAACATAAAATACATGTTTTTATATGAGCTCTGTTGTTTCTATAACAATTAAATGAGAACAGTGTCATATTTACAAGACTGAAGAGTAACTTTAACATTACATTTCTCCCATACACATTAGGCTCAAGCCTTCTGACATGGTCATAAGGATGAGTAAACCTCTCTCTCTTGGCTTTACAAAAAGAAAAGCAAAAGTAAAGAAGCACCATTCTGCTTCCATACCAAAACCAGTTTCATGACAACACAGATTTTGTGAAGTTATTTTTGTAATAAGCTGCTGCCCCAACAGAGAAGTATTTCTCTAACAATCCCCAGTTTGTTTTAAATATACCTATGTGCAGCAGCAGTGTCTTTGATTAAGTACTCAAAAACAACTGCTTAGGAAGGGAGTAGCAATTCTTTTGTTGCAACATTTTAAATAGCATGCAAATGAATGTTTTGAGTTTGATTTGTTTCATTCTGGTCCGTCATACTAACAATATTATAAAAGATAAAACAACTCCGTCCAGTGTGACTGTTGAAGTTTTTACTACTTCAATTCTTAACACCCTTACGTGTTTCAGTCCCTATAGACCATCATCAGAGGGACATTGATACTCTTTGGAAACCACTGTTACAATGCGTGGTCTGAATGTTAAAATATATACACATACAATGTTTGTAATGCACAATATATACAAAATCCAAAGTTTTCACAACTACAGTGGCTGTCTTGGTATATTAAAATTTTTAAAACTTTTGTTATTTAAGTTAAAATTTATAACCAAATGGTTCGTGTCCCTTCTCTTATCACCTTTCTTGATGGGGTCCGAACTTGTGCCGCCTGTCTTTTTTGAGAAGGATGTTCTTTGATATTGTCCTGTGTTTGTTTGTGGTGTGCTGTGTTGTTTTTACAAACAAACACAGGACAATTTCAAAGAACTTCCTTCTCCAGAAAGACAGGCGGCACAAGTTCGGACCCCATCAAGAAAGGTGATAAGAGAAGGGACACGAACCATTTGGTTATAAATTTTAACTTAAATAACAAAAGTTTTAAAAACTTTAATATACCAAGACAACCACTGTAGTTGTGAAAACTTTGGATTTTGTATATATTGTGCATTACAAACATTGTATGTGTATATATTTTAACATTCAGACCACCCATTGTAATAGTGGTTTCCAAAGAATATCAATCTCTCTGATGATGGTCTATAGGGACTGAAACATGTAACGGTGTTAAGAATTGAAGTAGTGAAAACTTCAACAGTCACCCTGGATGGAGTATATATTTTAATATTCAGACCACCCATTGTAATAGTGGTTTCCAAAGAATATCAATGTCCCTCTGATGATGGTCTATAGGGACTCAAACATGTAAGGGTGTTAAGAATTGAAGTAGTGAAAACTTCAACAGTCACCCTGGATGGAGTGCTGATCATTCCTGTAGAACCCCTGAGTTGCATCTTATAAAATAAATTAACAATTTTGAGCAAAGTCAACTATAGCTACTACATCTTTTACTCAGCATTAGTTACCTGTATGAATACTAATTGCAGATGTGCCACAATATCATGTGTTTGCCATTCTAAAAGGTTTTTAATGAAGATGTCAACTTTTTCTGATGAAGAGTCTCATCTTACTGCTGTTGTCCAATGTCTTAATATGACTACATTAATAAAACTAGCATCTAACAATTCCTGTAACACCTGTTGTACAAGTCCTCCTGGATATGCAACAGAGGCACCGAAAACATTCCTCTGTGGATGGACTGTATTTCCGTATTCCGTATTGAGGAGGTGGGTTTCCCCATGCACTTAGACCTGTTGGTGGTCCATTGTGTGTCCCCCTTTAATTTCTACTGTCTCCATACCCTACCGGTACTGGTGCTTACTATCAGCCCCTTTCTGCCAGCAAGGTTCCAACCTCCTCTGGCAGTGATATCTAATAGTTAGTCCCCTTCTGTCAGAGAGGTCCCCCCTCCTCTGGCAGTGGTACCTAATACTTCCCCCATCTACCGGAGGAATTGGAAACTACTTGGTTGGGAAATGTTGCCTAATTTTGCTCAGAGGTCTCCTAGAGACATGAGGTTCTTTTACGAGCCGTAAATCTACGACACGGGACCCACGGCTTAAAGTCCCTCCCGGAGGACTTGTTCCCTGAATTTTTCCGCCCTTAAAAATTCCACGACCTCCGCCGGGTTTTTGAACCTGCGTACTATGAGTCATGAGGTGGGAACGTTACCTCTAGACTATGGAGGCCGCTTGGATGGACTGTAAGTCACTGTTGTTAGTGACTGTGAGTGGAAACATCTGTCAATTTCTAAGCTAATGTCACTTGTTAGATCTTTAACTTTCAATCCATTGGTCATAAATTGTGTTCTGATGTGATATATACACAAGCAAAATGTTTAGTTTTCCTTTTCCATCCAGTTATATGTATGTACAATGCTGCATAATGGAAGCCCTGAAAAATATGCAGCTTATTTACAAAAGTCATTACAACTTCCGAAGTTGCTGCGGTCACAAAATTAATTTTTTAAAACTTAAAGAGAGAGGCTGACAATTATGGCAAATTTCAAACAAATCTCAGTTGACACTTTTCTGTAATTCCTGAAGTTCATAATATGAGACCACTTGTAACTCCAAAAAATTAAATGTTGTAAGGTAGCTAGAAAGAAAATTTCATAAGCTCTACAATGAGCTATTTAATGTTTCTGTAAGTGCTTTAACAGGTGTTATTAATGAGAAACCTTGTCAACACACCCTTTTTGTTTAACATTGTGGGTGTAATTTTTTGAAGCCCTACACTTAAAAACACTTTGCAGAATAAATAAAACTAGGCAAAGAAGTTTGTCTGTGGAACAAATATGTATAACAAATTTCATCAGTCTGAGGGAGTGAGGTACAAATTTTACTTTGAGGTGTGTTGGTTTTCCATGAAATGATACTAATGTTCTTGTGGAGAATATCTGAAAGTAAAAGATCCATAACTGGAAAAAATATACACATATATTTTATGAACAATTTCGTTGTATATTTTAAGTCTTTACATAGGAAGACATTTGATATGGTATCTTCTTTAAATTTTGTTTTTGCTCTTCATCACTATTCATTGTTGATACACATTCTGAAGGTAGTTCTGCAGTTTTTTCTTCTAATTCCTTGGATTAAAATTATGCCTCATGCTTAACATATTGCAGACTGTCTTAATAAGCATCTGTTATTTTTCAAAGCTCTGTACCATCCATTATTTCAGGATCTGACATTAAGTGGAGTTAGTGTTCTCTCCCTTCTCATAGGTTTGTGTCTTCTTTCATTATTATTGACTACAGAGGATTACAAATTATGAGATGGGTGTGCCCTTGAATGGCATAACATTCATATCACGTTTTGTACAAGTCAGTCAAATAGTTCAAATGTTGAAAGGGGGACATGCAGACAGCATAGTTCTACTTTTCTCTCTTAAAAATGGAAGGGCAACTAATAGGTGAATTTTTTTAGCTGTCCATCAGGGTGTACACATAAATTTACTCCTCAATGACCATCTTGGTTTTCATACAGTATCTACTACATTTATCTACATCTGCCCTACAACTTCTGTTTATTTTCACCCAACTGAAAACAATTTTGGGAAAGCATGCAGTGCTGGATGATACTTGCATATGTGTTACCATTTCTAATTTTGGGATCATACACTGATTTGTTGGTTACTTTGTCATATTCATACTAGTGAAGACATAGAGAAAAAATTACTTACGTCCTTTCCTTTCTCCATGATGAGTAGTACATACCATCCAAAACATGTCAGAGAACAGGCAGCGAAGAACCACGAAATATATAGCATTCTATAATAACCTATGACTCCTGCAAATCCCATTATCTCAAGTGCTAAAACAAAACATTCAAAGAACTCCCTCAGAGAATGTTACAGTGTCCTCAGTTTTGTATTGCAAAATCGGATTAGATGGATACATGGAAGAGTGAATAGATAAATAGATGGATAGATAAGGTTAGGTTGGATAAATTTGGTTAGGTTAGCCAGATTAGGTTAAGATAGATAAAGGGGGGATTTGGATTGGTGATTGAATATACTGAACTCGTAATTACATGGCATAATCCTTCACTGATTAACCACAGGGGCAACATTTACTTCTCATCACCGTTACGTCTTCACGTTCCCGTTGATACTAGCTGCTTTCGAAATTTAAATCCCCTTCACTCCTTCCATGTACAGTGACGCTTGTTCTCGATGAATAACGACTGACTTGCAACTCGTTCAACTGCAACTGTCAATTCCTTCCGTCTGAGCCCTCCTCATATAACTTCGGCACGACCACACAGAAAACACCGCTCCTAACAATACTGCGAAGCGTTGTAGCGGCCATTGCTTAGCAACGGACTAAATATTATTACGTGTATACACAGCCGTTACCACGCAACGGACAATAAGTATCTTTCTTGTTTCCATCCTATTGTGTATCATCAAGAAGGTTTTAATGCGGCCCTCAACACAAGTATTTATAAATAAATAAATGAAACTAACTATTAAATTGTAAATACCATTTTTTTTTTAAACCACATGTTTCGTTCAATGTGAAGATCGTCAGGTGGTTACAATAAATACATAACCGTCATCACCAAATTGCTGAAATAATATGGGCTCGTATTAGCAAACGTCGTCAGTTAGATATTAAATTTCTAATTTTATGTGTATTTTTTACTTTCGTATGTAATAAGATTAAAAGTTGAGAAGTAAAATGTTAGATCTTAAAAGTAATTGAATGAAATCGATTGATGAAGTAGAACAGAATATAGTTCGGATGATCTCCATAGCCGTGACGTCCTATTGTAGTTTTGGAAGAAATTTTCGTGCGTATAATAGTTCCGACATTTCGATTTTGTGGACGTTTGCAAGTGGGTGTCTTTATGAACGCCATAGCGATATTGTTGGCTTTCTGACAGTTAAAAATTTCGGATCTTTGTCCTGGATTCCTCTCTCAATCCAGATTAATATACCAGCAATACTGTTCTTGCCGGTTGTTGCTGCGGAAGAGATTATGGTGGACATGGAGACCTCGAGGAGCTCTGTCGATCTCTGTGGCCGTGTGTGTATGCGGGGAGATTAGATGGGGCTAGTAGCCAGCGTATATAGAGACACCTACAAAGTATTCACAGAACTACTGGCACAAGAGCACCAATGGCACCAAACGTTCGCAATTGATGTAATAAGTGAATGCCGAGGCCTTCTTTTTGTTGTGTTTACAATATTTTTTCTACAATAAAAAAATATCAACTGAAAATCGAGCTGAGGGTATGGAAAAAAATTCTTCCCACAATTCAAAAGTGAATTCTTGACTGGCAGAGGCTTTAGTGGACATCATCATTCGTCGGGTAATTCGAAAAATTGTACAACCGGCAAGAGCCTGTACCACTGTATCACCGAATTGGAAACAAGCATTATATTACTTAATGACGGTCCCCAGATGCATGTCTCCGATGCCACAGGATCCAAGGCAGCCCTCGACCTAAATTTTGTGGAACCAAGATCAGCATTGTTATATACCTGGAAGGTTGGAACAGACCCTGCGAATAGCGACCATTATCCAATTTCCATCGAGCATAATGGCATAATAGAACCAGAGAAAGGCAACGCTTCTAGATTGCATCATAAGGACACCGATTTGACGGCATTTATGGAAAAAGTTAAAGAAAAAATCACGGAAGTCAAAACATATCGGATGGAAGCGAGAAAGAGAGGGATGTAAAGGAAAGGTATGGGAATTTTATCCAGATAATTAAAGGAAAATTAGAATAGACCACTCATAAAATAAAAAACAAAAACAACCTCGGAAATGGACAAGGAAAATAGGAAATAAAGAAAAACAACCAGTGGGTGTATGGTGGAACAGAGAATGCGATAAGGAAATTAGGATCAGAAAAGTTGAATTGTTTAAATCTAAATACTATAAAACTGAAGAGACATTTTTGGAATACAAAAGGGCGGCAATTAGCGCAAAAAAAATAGGCTAAACGAAGTCAAACAAGAGCATTGTAAAACTTTGTGTGAGGGAATAGATGAATTCACGAATCAATAATATATTTGGGAGAGAATTAAAAGGCTAAAATGTAGGTATAACAAGACAGAAAGGGAACACGAATGTAAGGAACAACTGGTTAAATCCGCCAAAACGACTTTTGAAAAGCTACGCTCAGGGGTGGATGAGTCGATGCAAGCACCGGAATTCGATCACAATAATCAGGGTCCATTCCTAGACTCAGAGTACACAATTAAGGACCTGAACTTCGCAATGAAAGACCTCAGAATCCAATTGAGCCTGGGACGGGATGGAATACTCTAACTCATAATTCGAAATTTACCAAATGAATCTTTAGAAATCCTGCTGGAAATTTATAACGATACTTTAAGAGCAAGAGTGTTCCCCAGAAGACTGGAAGAAATATAGAGCGTTCTTTATTCCTAAAAGAGACAAAATGAATGTAAGACCTATATCCACGGGATCATGTGTGTGCAAGGGATTAGAACGGATGATAAGCATGCGAATAACCTGGCGGCTAGAAAAGCATGTGAAGAACGGAACACGGTATTGACCCTATTCCTTGACATTAAAATCGCATACAACGTTCACTGCGGAAATTTGATGGAAAGACTCAAGGCAGTAGGTTTCTCAAGAAAACATGCTGCTGAAAGATGTGGCATTGAGCCCGCTATATATAGGTGGACCTGTGCTCTGCTGGAAAGCAGGAACATAATTGCTACATTTTCGGGAGAGATCCTGGGGCCTTCTGTGGCTGGGGGTATCCGCAAGGAGGTATGCTTTTGCTTCAACTGTGGATCCTGGTCATGGACAATCTTCTCTGAGAGCTCAACTACAATGGGGATTACATGGTATAATTACAATGGTGTGTGGGGTTTTAGTTTTGTCGTTACTTCAATTACAACCCACTTCTTCGGAACAGTTTGTAGGTCCTGAAAAGCACCGTTGGTTGCTGAGATGCTTGGCCGGTGAAGTAGAGCGGCGCGTGCCGGTAGGAAGGGATGTTGGTTGCTGTGTGTTGAGGCGGCTGAATCAGTCGACTGGTCGCAGTGCGGCCGTTGATGTAGGTTTCTTGGTTGTTGGGAAAGGTTTGCTTGCTGATCGTGGTCGCAGGGGTCGCAGGTATGCAGAGGTGGTAGCTATGCCAGTTGCCCAGTGTGTCGGGCATGACTACCGGCGAATCGAGGCGGCCGAGTTGCCCAGTGAGTCGGGGGTGTGACCGCCGGACAGCCGAGGCAGTCGTGCATGGCGCAGCGAAGCGCCAATGCCTCCGAAGACCGAGCGCTGGCGACGAAGTGTGCTGATCGCTTGTAGACTGCTTGAAGACTGCTGATCGTAGACTGACTGAAGACTGATGCTGCCGGTCAAGGTCAAGGTCATGTTACAACAGATGATCGGTCAGCCTGTCTGTCTTGGTGTCGAGCCCCAGCTGGGACTCATGACCAGATATTTCTTTTGAATGAAAGTTACTGTCTTGTCTATGTGTAGCGCCCTCTCTGGGTCTGTCATTTGTTAGTCAGTCTGTATTAAGCCCATTGTCTGTATTTACATACATTTACAAATACACACTTATTCCTTACTTCTATGTACAATATATACACGGCCTCTATCAGTCCAGGCTAGGTACAGCAGATTATGCCCTTTATATATGTATATACATATATATATAT